GAGAAGTAGTACTAAGTGGGTGAACCTCTTGGAAGTCCTCGTGTTGCACCCCTCTTTTGCACTCGAACTTTGCTAAGCTTCTCGGCAGCCGTGAGCCCGGAGTTTAGTCCTAGGAACCATTTTCTTTCATCTTATCACATCGACTATGAAGGAATTTAACAGCAACCGGGGGCATTTTATTTTTTTTCGAAGGATAAAAGAGAGTAAAAAAAAAAAATCGTAAAATTTAAATCGAGACCCGACACCGGATAGAGGAAAATACAGGCACCGATACTAGCGTTTGAGAATGCAAAAAAGCGACGCGGACGATTGCGAGACGGGTGTAAGGAAGTGGAGAGGAGAAAATTAGAAAAGATTGCCGCAAGAGATGGACGGGTGCGAATCATACCAGCACTAATGCAACCGGATCCCATCAGAACTCCCGAAGTTAAACTTGCTGAGAGTAGTACTAAGATGGGTGACCTCTTGGGAAGTCCTCGTGGTGCGTGTTGCACTCTTCATTTTCGCACTCGAACCTTTTGCTAAGCTTCTGGGCAGCCGACTCGAGTTTTAGTCCTTAGGAACCATTTTCATTCTCTATCATTCGACTATGAAAGAATTACAACACGCATTTATTTTTTCGAAGGGTAAAGAGAGGTAAAAAAAAATATTAAATTTTAAATCGAGACCTGAACACCGATAGAGGAAATACAGCACCGATACTAGGTATGAGAATGCAGAAAGCGACACGGACGATTGCGAGACGGGTGTAAGGAAGGGAGAGGAGAAATAGAAAGATTGCGCAAGAATGACGGTCGATCATACCAGCACTTAATGCCACCGGATCCCATTCAGTAACTCCGAAGTTGAACGTGCTTGGGCGAGGAGTAGTACTTAAGATGTGTTGACCTCTTGGGAAGTCCTTCGTGTTGCACCCCTCCTTTGCACTCCGAACCTTTGCTAAGCTTCTCGCAGCCGGCCCCCGAAGTTTTTTTAGTCCTTAGGAACCATTTCTTTCTCTATCACTCGATATGAAAGAATTAAGCACGCATTTTATTTTTTTCGGAAGGATAAAGAGAGGTAAAAAAAAAAAAAATCGTAAAATTTTAAAATCGAGACCCGACCCGATAGAAGGGAAATACAGCCCGATACTAGGTATGAGGATGCAAAAAGCGACGCGGGGAACGAGCGGGACGGGTTGTAAGGATGAGAGGAGGAAATAGAAAGATTGCGGCAAGGAGATGACGGGTGCGACTACCAGCACTAATGCACCGGGATCCATCAGAACTCCGAAGTTAAACGTGCTTTGGGCGAGAGTAGTACTAGATTGGGGGACCTCTTGGAAGTCCTCGTGTCTGCCACCCTTCTTTTTTTGCACTCGAACCTTTTTTGCTAAGCTTCTCGGCAGCCGGCCCGGAGTTTTAAGTCCTTAGAACCATTTTCTTTTCTCTATCACTGCGACTATGAAAGAATTACAGCACGCATTTTATTTTTTCGGAGGATAAAGAGAGGTAAAAAAAAAAAAAATCGCTAAAATTTAAATCGAGACCCGACACGATAGAGGAAATACAGCACCGATACTAGTTATGAGAATGCAAAAAGCGACGCGGACGATGTCGAGAACGCGGACGATTGCGAGACGGGTGTAAGGAAGCAGAGGAGAAATAGAAAGATTGCGCAAGAGACGACGGGTGCGATCATACCAGCACTAATGCACCGGATCCCATCAGAACTTTGAAGTTAAATATGCTTGGGCGACAGTAGTACTAAGGTGGGTGACCTCTTGGGAAGTCCTCGTGGTGCACCCGTCGTTTTCGCACTCGAACCTTTCGCTAAGCTTCTCGGCAGCCGTCCCGAGTTTTAGTCCTTAGGAATCATTTTTTTTCTCTATCACTCGACTATGAAAGAATTACAACACGCATTTATTTTCGAAGGATAAAGAGAGGTAAAAAAAAAATCGTAAAATTTAATTAAATCGAGACCCGAACACCGATAGAGAAAATACAGCACCGATGCTAGACATGAGAATGCAAAAATCGACGCGGACGATTGCGGGACGGGTGTAAGGAAGGAGCGGAGAAATAGAAAGATTGCGCAAGAGATGACGGGTGCGATCATACCAGCACTAATGCACCGGATCCCATCAGAAGTCTAAAGCTAAACGTGCTTGGGCGAGAGTAGTACTAAGATGGGTGACCTCTTGGGAAGTCCTCGGTTGCACCCCTTGTTTTCGCACTCGAACCTTTTGCTAAGCTTCTGTGCAGCCGGCTCGAGTTTTAGTCCTTAGGAACCATTTTCTTTCTCTATCACTCGACTATGACGACTATTGAAAGGAATTAACAGCACGCCATTTATTTTTACGAAGGGAATAAAGAGAGGTAAAAAAAAAAAATCGTAAAATTAAATCGAGACCCGACACCGCATAGAGGCAAATACAGCACGATACTAGGTTGAGAATGCAGAAAAAAGCGACAGCGGACGATTGCGAGACGGGTTGTAAGGAAGGGAGAGGAGAAATAGAAAGATTGCGCCAAGACATGACGGGTGCGATCATACCAGCACTTAATGCACCGGATCCCATCAGAACTCCGAAGTTAAACGTGCTGGGCGAGAGTAGTACTAAGATGTGGTGACCTCTTGGGAAGTCCTCGTGTTGCACCCCTCCTTTTGGCACTCGAAACCTTTTGCTAACTTCTCGGCAGCCGGCCCGAGTTTTAGTCCTTAGGAACCATTTTCTTTCTCTATCACTCGACTATTGAAAAGAAATTTACAGCACGCATTATTTTTTCGAAGGATAAAGAGAGGGTAAAAAAAAAAAAATCGTTAAAATTTAAATCGAGGACCCGACACCACCGATAAGGGAAATACAGCACCGATCTAGGTATGAGGAATGCAAAAAAGCGACAGCGGACGATTTGCGAAGACGGGATTGTGTAAGGAAGGAAAGAGGAGAAATAGAAAGATTGCGCAAAGAGATCGACGGGGTGCGATCATTACCAGCACTAATGTGCAACCGGATTCCCATCAGAACTCCGGAAGTAAACGTGCTTGGGCGGAGAGTAGTACTAAGATGGTAAGGTTGGAAGGCATGCATTTCTCAACTCCCATTCCCTGTGTTTTTCGCACTCGAACCTTTTGCTAAGCTTCTGTGCAGCCGGCTCGAGTTTTAGTCCTTAGGAACCATTTTCTTTCTCTATCACTCGACTATGAAAGAATTACAACATGCATTTATTTTTTCGAGGGATAAAGAGAGGTAAAAAAAAATAAAATTTAAATCGAGACCTGAACACCGATAGAGGAAATACAGCACTGATACTAGGTATGAGAATGCAAAAAGCAGCGCGGACAATTGCGAGACGGGTGTAAGGAAGGAGAGGAAAAATAGAAAGATTGCGCAAGAGATGACGGCTGTGATCATACTAGCGCTAATGCGCTGGATCCCATTAGAACTTCGAAGGTGAACGTGCTTGGGCGAGAGTAGTACTAAGATCGGTGACCTCTTGGGAAGTCCTCGTGTTGCACCCCTCGTTTTCGCACTCGAACCTTTTGCTAAGCTTTTTCACTCGAACCTTTTGCTAAGCTTCTCACGCATTTATTTTTTCGAAGCATAAAGAGAGGTAAAAAAAAAAATCGTAAAATTTAAATCGAGACCCGACACCGGTAGAGGAAATACAGGACCGATACTAGGTATGAGAATGCACAAAGCGACGCGGACGATTGCGAGACGGGTGTAAGGAAGGAGAGAAGAAATAGAAAGATTGCGCAAGAGATGATGGGTGCGATCATACCAGCACTAATGCGTAAGGAGGAGAGGAGAAAAATAGAAAGATTGCGCAAGAGGATGACGGGTGCGATCATACCAGCATTAAAGATTTTAGTTAATAATAAAAAAATCTATGAATATAAAATTTAAGACAAAATAATTAAAAATATTTCACACTTTAATTTTTAAATTTAAAGTTAAATTAACTGTTGATTATTATGTATGCAATCAATTGAATAAAAATATAATATCCAAGTTATAATAAATAAATAATACTAAATGACATTAGATTTATATGGATAGAGAAAATACTAATAATAAATATCTTAATAATACTAAATAGAGAAGAGATGAAAAAAAAATCGTAAAATTTTAATAGAGATAATAAAACTAATGCTTATATATTTTGGATAAATGAATGACATTAGATTTATATGGATAGATAATAATAATAGTAATAATAATAATAATAATAATAATAATACAACTTTATAAGAATAAGTCTTATAAAAAAAAAGAGAAATGTAGAATAAAAATAGAAAGCATAGTTACAGAAATCATTATTTGTGGTTTCATAAAATTTATTTTTTGTTTTAAAAAAAATTTCTAAAAAGTAAAAAAAAAAATTAAACAAGTTCACCCCTCGTTTTGCACTCGAACCTTTTGCTAAGCTTCTCAGCAACCGACCCGAGTTTTAGTCCTTAGGAACCATTTTCTTTCTCTATCATTCGACTATGAAAGAATTACAACATGCATTTATTTTTTCGAAGGGTAAAGACGGGTAAAAAATAATCGTAAAATTTAAATCGAGACTCGACACCGGTAAAGGAAATACATCACCGGTACTAGGTATGAGAATGCAAAAAGTGGCACGGACAATTGCGAGACGGGTGTAAGGAAGGAAAGGAGAAATAGAAAGATTGCGCAAGAGATGACGGGTGTGATCATACCAGCACTAATGCACCGGATCCCGGATCCTATCAGAACTCCGAAGTTAAACGTGCTTGGGCGAGAGTAGTACTAAGATGGGTGACCTCTTGGGAAGTCCTCGTGTTGCAGTTGCACCCCTCTTTTTTGCACTTCGAACCTTTTGCCTAAGCCTTCTCGGCAGCCGGCCCGGAGGTTTTAGTCCTTAGGAACCCATTTTCTTTCTCTATCACTCTGACTTATGACTATCACTCGACTATGAAAGAATTACAACACGCATTTATTTTTTCGAAGGATAAAGAGAGGTAAAAAAAAAAATCACAAAATTTAAATCGAGACCAGACAGCGGTAGAGGAAATAATGCACCGATACTAGGTATGAGAATGCAAAAAGCGACGCAGACGATTGCGAGACGGGTGTAAGGAAGGAGAGGAGAAATAGAAAGATTGCGGAAGAGATGACGGGTGCGATCAAACCAGCACTAATGCACCGGATCCCATCACAACTCCGAAGTGAAATGTGCTTGGGCTAGAGCAGTACTAAGATGGGTGACCTCTTGGGAAGTCCTCGTGTTGCACCCCTCTTTTTTGCACTCGAACCTTTTGCTAAGCTTCTCCGGCCCGAAGTTTTAGTCCTTGGAACCATTTTCTTTCTCTATCACTCGACTATGAAAGAATTTACAGGCACGCATTTATTTTTTCGTAAAGGATAAAGAATGCGTTAAAAAAAAAAAACTGTAAAAATTTAATCGAGACCCGAACGATAGAGGAAATACAGGCCACCGATACCTAGGTATGAGAATTGCCAAAAGCGACGCGGACGATTGCGAGACGGGTGTAAGGAAGGAGACGGAGAAAATAGAAGATTGCGCAAGAGATGACGGGTTGCCGATTCAACCAGCACTAATGCACCGGATCTCCACAAGCAACTCGAAGTTAAACGTGGCTTGCGGCGAGAGTAGAGTACTAAGGATGGTGACCTCTTGGGAATCCTCGTGTTGCACCCCTCTTTTTTGCCACCAACCTGCTAAGCTTCTCGGCAGCCGGCCCGGAGTTTTAGTCCCTTAGGAACCATTTTCCCACTACTTCGACTATGAAAGAATTACAGCACGCATTTTATTTTTTCGAAGGATAAAAGAGAGGTAAAAAAAAAAAATTCGTTAAAATTAATCGAGACCCGACATCCCGATAGAGGAAAACCAGCTACCGATACTTAGGTATGAAGGAATGGCATATAAAGGACGCGGACGATTCGAGACGGGTGTAAGGAAGGAGAGAATATAGAAAGATTGCGCAAGACATGACGGGTGCGATTCATACCATGCACTAATGCACCGGATCCATCAGAACTCCGAAGTTAAACGTGCTTGGCGAGAGTAGTACTTAAGGATGGGTTGACCTCTTGCGGAAAAGTTTCCTTCGTGTTGCACCCTCCTTTTTGCACTCGAACCTTTTGCTAAGCTTCTCGGCAGCCGGCCCGAGTTTTTAGTCCTTAGGAACCATTTCTTTCTCTATTCACTCGGACTATGAAAGAATTACAGCACGCATTTATTTTTTCGAAGGATAAAGAGAGGTAAAAAAAAAAAAATCGTAAATTTAAATCGCAGACCCGACACGATAGAGGAAATACAGCACCGATACTTAGGTATTGAGAATGCAAAAAGCGACGCGGAACGATTTGCGAGACGGGTGTAAGGAAGGAGAGGAGAAATAGAAAGATTGCGCAAGAGAAGGAGAAATAGATGACGGGTGCGATCATACCAGCACTAATGCACTGGATCCCATCAGAAGTCTGAAGCTAAACGTGCCTGGGCGAGAGTAGTACTAAGATGGGTGACCTCTTGGGAACTCCTCGTGTTGCACCCCTCGTTTTCGCACTCGAACCTTGTGCTACGCTTCTCGGCAGCCGGCCCGAGTTTTAGTCCTTAGGAAGTATTTTCTTTCTCTATCACTCGACTATGAAAGAATTACAACACGTATTTATTTTTTCAAAGAATAAAGAGAGGTAAAAAAAAATCGTAGAATTTAAATCGAGACCCAAACACCGATAGAGGAAATACAGCACCGATAATAGGTATGAGAATGCAAAAGGCGAGGCAGACGATTGCGAGACGGGTGTAAGGAAGGAGAGGAGAAATAGAAATATTGCGCAAGAGATGATGTGTGTGATCATACCAGCACTAATGCACCAGATCCCATTAGAACTCCGAAGTTAAACGTGCTTGGGTGAGAGTAGTACCAAGATGGGTGACCTCTTGGGAAGTCCTCGTGTTGCACCCCTTGTTTTTGCACTCGAACCTTTTGCTAAGCTTCTCGGCAGTCGGCCCGAGTTTTAGTCCTTAGGAAGCATTTTCTTTCTCTATCACTCGACTATGAAAGAATTAAAACAAGCATTTATTTTTTCGAAGGATAAAGAGAGGTAAAAAAAAATCGTAAAATTTAAATCGAGACCCGAAAACCGATAGAGGAAATACAGCACCGATACTGCATCGATATTAGGTATGAGAATGCAAAAAGCGACGCGGACCGCGGACGATTGCGAGACGGTGTTAAGGGAAGGAAGAGGAGAAATAAGAAAGATTGCGCAAGAGATGGACGGGGTTGCGATCATACCAGCACTTAATTGCACCGGATCCCATCAGAAACTCCGAAGACACAGTGCTTGGGGGCTAGAGAGAGTATTACTAAGAGGTGACCTCTTGGAGTCCTCTGTGTTTGCACCCCTCTTTTTGCACTCTAACCTTTTCTTAAGCTTCTCGGCAGGGCCGGCCGGAGTTTTTATCCTTAGGAACCATTTTTCTTTCTCATTCACCCGACTATGAAAAGAATTACAGCACGCATTTATTTTCTGAAGGATTAAAGAGAGGTAAAAAAAAAAATCGTAAAATTTAAATTCGAGACCCGACACACGATAGAGGAAATACAGCACCGACAGCACCGATACTAGGTATGAGAATGCAAAAAGCGACTCGG